CTTTCCCTCTGTGTGGCCTTTCATCTGCCCTGTGGGTTCCCAGCCCCAGGGCGTGAGGTGAGGACCACTTCAGGCCTGTCACCCGGTGTCCCTGGGGTGCTCCTTCTTTTTATTACTCGCTCCCATCAGTTCCTGAGCGTCTGGGCAGGAAAGGGGATTGACAGGAAGAGCTGCTGCCCCTCCGGGAAGCCAGCAGCCCAGTCAGTGCTGTCCAAGGCGAGCTGCCCGCGGGACCGGTGCGCGCGGTGGTGTGCCGTCAGGGCGGCCGAGGGCAGCACACACAGGACCCCGGTGCCAAGGCCTAAACCCGCTCCTAGGTGCCGTTCTTTCAAGTTTTCATCTTAACTAACTTCCTCCTTGTAATTAGAAGGCGTCTTTAGCATCCAGAGTAAATAGGGGGCGACCCGTTTCTTACTGTTGAGGGGCTCAGGGTCTGGGGTTGGGGGGCTTGTTCATGTTGCCTTTCCCCAGAACCTGCACCACATGGAAGCTGGAGAAGCTTCTGAGGAAGGCTGTGTGCTGCTGCTGCAGAACAGTTACCTTATGAACGGAGGTTCCTAGAGACGTGTGATAGGGCAAGTCACCCCAAGTTCCCAAGACAGTGGGGAGAGGAGGTCTTGCATCTTAAACCCAGAATTGTTTGGATTCCCACACTCAGGCCACCAGTGTCCTTCCACACTACGGAAAGTGGGGGGACCATGTCCAGTGTCCTTCCACACGACGGAAAGTGGGGGACCCTGTCCAGTGTCCTTACATAACCATGGAAAGTGGGGGGCCTCTGTCCAGTGTCCTTCCACAACCATGGAAAGTGGGGGACCGTGTCCAGTGTCCTTCCACACGATGGAAAGTGGGGGGGCTATGTCGAGTGTCCTTCCATAACCATGGAAAGTAGGGGACCATGTCCAATGTCCTTCCATAACCATGGAAAGTGGGGGGACTATGTCCAGTGTCCTTCCACAACCAAGGAAAGTGGAGAGACCATGTCCAGTGTCCTTCCACACGACGGAAAGTGGGGGACCCTGTCCAGTGTCCTTACATAACCATGGAAAGTGGGGGGCCTCTGTCCAGTGTCCTTCCACAACCAAGGAAAGTGGAGAGACCATCTCCAGTGTCCTTCCACACGACAGAAAGTGGGGGACCCTGTCCAGTGTCCTTACATAACCATGGAAAGTGGGGGGCCTCTGTCCAGTGTCCTTCCACAACCATGGAAAGTGGGGGACCATGTCCTGCGTCCTTCCACACGATGGAAAGGGGGGGACCGTGTCCAGTGTCCTCCCTGGTTAGGAAGCCCCTCCACGCCCACATTTCAGGGCACGGCCTCTGACAGCCTTGCCTCCGTCCAGCTCACAGGGGCAGTGCGGTCTTCAGAACGTCTGAGAACCCGGAGTTGCTCAGCCAAGTTGACCTCTGCCCAGGAGGGCAGGACCGCCCCGTCCAGCAGGACAGCATGTCAGGTGAGCCTCCGCCAGGGAGACACGGGGGCCAGGGCTCGGGTGTCCGCGTCTACACAGCGTGCGTTCTGCGGTGTGCTGATTGGGACCGGAACAGGAGGTTGGGTCCAGGGAGTGTCTGGCCATCAGCGGGCCTGGCTCGGGTCCTGTTGCCTTTGATGCGGCCTTTTTTTTTTTAAATCCTCACCAAGGAGCGAGGATTTTTTCCCATTGATTTCAGAGAGAATGGAGGGGAGGGGAGAGAAACGGAAACATTGATGTGAGACACATTGGCTTGTTGCCTCCTGCACGCACCCCAGTGGGGAGGGATGGGGGGATCGGACCTGCAACCCAGGTACTTGCTCTTGACCAGGAATCGAACTGGCGACTCCAGTGTGCAGGCCAAGGCTCTAACCACTGAGCACGCCAGCCAGGGCTCAATGCAGCCTTTTGAGTGGTGGTGGCATAGTGCCCTCCTGTCCACCCCTAAGGCTTCGAGAGAAAGGCAGCGTGGGCTGGGGAGAGGACCCAGCGTGTCCGTGTTCCCTGCAGTGCGGCGGCACCGGCTGGGACTCGGTGCCCCGTGCGGCTCGTGGAAGCCAGGCTGGAGCCACGTATGAGCTGCAGAGCACCTCCCCGTCCCTGCCCTCAGCTGCCCACACTCCAGCAGAAACGAACGGAAACTGGATTCTCTGGCTGCAAGTCTGTAGTCCGTCAGGACGGGCTTCTGAACTCGCCTCGGCAGTGGGCAGCCTGGAGCGCACGGCGTGCGGGAGCGGGTTGGGGTCTCGGTTCTGCCCTTGGGTGGCGGCAGTGACCTGGCCCCGGCCCAGCCGTAGCAGCGGGGCTTCAGCTCGTCCCGGTTGAGGTGTGAGGAAGGGGCCTCGGGGGTGGGACTGTTTTGTTTGCCGTCTGCTTCATAATCCTAGACGGGCCTGCTTTCCCGGCATTTTTCTTCCTCAACAGACTTCCTCACACAAAGCCACGGACAGGCGAACTTCCAAGAAGTTCAAGTGTGACCGAGGTCAGCTTGTGAAGTCAGAATCACAGAAACTGGTCCCTAAGAGCGAGAGTGCGGCCCCGCCCCGAGTGCCGCCGGGGAGCCCTGGTGGACATGAGCCCCTGGCGCTGGAGGGAGACGGCCCGTGCCCCCCGGGAGAGGCAGCCGGCATCTCCTCACCACGGGGGACCGCAGGCCT